TTTAGGGTTTAGGGTTGAGGGCTCGTCGGGTTTAGGGTTCGGGGAACTAGGGCTTGGGTTTTGACGGGTTTAGGGTAACTACTAGGGATTTAGGCTTCAGTTTTAGGGTTAGTTGGGGTTTAGGGTTTTGGCTTTAGGGTTCAGACAATCAGGGCTTAGGGTTCAGGGTTCAGGTTTGAGGGTTCGGGGTACAAGGGTTTAGGGTTCAGGCTAGGGGCATAGATTTTACAAAGCCCTAAACACCCCTTTTCATAAACCCCAACCCCTAAAGAGCGGACATTTACAACGCCTTCAAAGACTTAAGCCGCCAAATACCAAGGTCAAATACTAAAACAGGCTCTTGCGCTCGAAAAACCATGCCAAACTCCCTCAAAACCTTCTCAAAAGCTTATAAGACTCTTATAAGACCCTTACTCTGGACTCCCCTAAAGTCTTACAAGGCCCGAAGTTAAGCCCTAAACCCCTAAACCCTTAACCCCTATACCCCAAACTGCTCCAAATCTCAAACTTCCGCCGGCATATGGATGGTTGTCAAAATTATGGTCCCTTTTTGGGTCCTTATTATGATACGGCACCAAAAGGGACCCTAATTTTGACAACTACCCATATAGAAGCCTGTAGGATCAGCCACTGCTGGAAAGAAGGAAAAGGCTTCGGGCTTCGGGTTTAGGCTTGAGGCTTTTTAGGCTTTATAAGGCTGAGGTGTTGGGGTTTCGGATTTAGGGCTTCGGTTTTGGGGTCTCGGATTTCGGATTTAGGGCTTAGGTGTAGGGTTTAAGGTTGAGGCTTGAGGATTTTAACGGGTTTTGAGGGCGCAAACTCCCGGGCCTCAGCCTAGACACACTAAGCCACAACCGGAGACATGAACCATAAACCCTAAACCCCTAAAGCTCTAAACCCCAAACTCTCAACCCTAAAGCCCTAAACTCTCTAAACCCCAAACCTCAACCCTAAACCAGAACTCCCCGTCTGAAGCCTCAAAAACCGAAAGTCCAAGCATGTCGCTATTCCCATCGCTGGAGCCGTCTACCACCCTTAAGTTGGCGCAACATATGCAGTGTCCCTAGAATGTCTTAGATCATCCCTGAATCCTACAACCCTATATTATATAGATTTAACAACTCTGAAAATATCAACAGTCAAAGTCTTGAAGCCCTTCATACACTGCTCGTAAAGCCCTAAGCTCTAAACACGCCAAGCCGTAAAGACAATAAACCCCCAGCCCAAACATGGACATCTGTAGCAACCCAAGTAACGTCAGCCACAAAACTATACTACACAAGTCATGACGCCCGACTCTATAACCCGTAAAAACCCAGTTCCAATGGTTGAGGCTCCTAATATTGCAAGAAAAACGTTCCTGCATGTGTTCCTTAGTTCCTTAGAGTGACCCCTCAGGTAACTCCTAAACCCTTTAATCAAACACCCGTTTAAGGTCACCCTTACACCCTTAAATTCAATAACCGTTTATAGGGACCCTTAACCTAAACCCTAAATTGCAAGAAGAACTCAGCTCCGCACACATCTTGTCCCAGCTCCAGGGTGCCGACGGGCTCTGGCTCCTCCAGGGTTTGGGGTTTAGAGTGGCTAGGGTTTGGGGTTTAGGGTTTAGGATTATCTATACAAGGACCTTAATAGTGGGTACTTAGAGTCTATTAGAGGCGGTTAGGGTGTCTCGGTAGCATTTCCTTTCAGGGATCTATCAAGAGTTTAGGATGTAGGCTTTTGGGGTGTGGGGTTCTTGGATTTTCGTGGCTTTGGAAGGATGAGAGCCTCGTGCGTTCCCAGAGGGACCCTGAAAGGAGTTCTGTGTCTTGCTCAGGCTTCCTCAAAATATCTGAAGGAAGGAACTGTCAGGTTTTCGACGTATCTGATCTTCGAGAAAGCTCTTATGTAGTATGACACGAGTTTGCAGCATTGGCAACATTCGGTAAAGAGCAATGATACAAGGCTAGATCTTTCGACGAGCAGTTGCTCATAAAGAACCCCAAACCCTAAACCCCTATAAACCCTAAATCCCGAAACCCCTAAACCCCTAAATCCCCAAACCCTGAACCCCTAAACCCCTAAACATTGCTGGGCCCAACTGCTGCTGCGGCTCTTTGATATCTAAGCTGAGCCCGACGACAAATGCCCTGCACACATCCCCCCCCAAAAAAAGAGACCCTTATGGAGCCCCTGAAGGAACTGAACTCTTTAAAGGAACCTTAGCGTTTAGGGTTTAGGGTTTAGGGTTTAGGGTTTAGGGTTTAGGGTTTAGGGCTCTTTCAAGTCTTTAAAGGAACCTTAGGGTTTGGGGTTAAGGACTCTTTAAGGGAGCCTTCGGATTTGGGTAAAAGAGCCCCTCCAGGCTCATGCTGAAAGCTTACAGGGTTTTGGGCTCGGGAACCCGGATCGTTGCACAAATCCCTTCTGCAGCATTTGGGGTTTATAGAGCTTGAGGGTTGTTTAGGGTTTCATTGACCCGAATCGCCCACCTTTTCTTATGACCTCTTCATCTATACATGCTTAAACTGCTAGCGTATTTTGGGGTTAAGGTGTGGTTTTGGGATTCACCAAGTTACCAGAATAAGAGTACCATGGCTACGAGACCCCAGATCAGGGGCCCCCCAAATAACCCTAAACCCCTAAACCCCAAACCCCTAAACCCTAAACCCGTAAAGGAGCTCTTTAAATGAAGCTAAGCCCTAAACCCGAAATCCTTCCAGCATCCGGAGAAGGAGCCTTATGGCTCCCTTAGAGGAACTCTTTAAAATAAAGCCTAAACCCCTAAACCCCTACACCCCTAAACCCCAAACCCCTAAACCCTGAACCCGTAAAGGAACCCTTTAAATGAACCTAAACCCTAAACCCCCAAAGCCCCTAAGCTCCTAAAGCCCTAGACCCCTAAAGCCCTAAACCCTAAACCGGTTTAGGTTTAGGGTCTCCTCTGGCGGCGGCTTTTCCATCTTGGGCTGGAGCACACCGGAATCCTTCGATCGTTCAGCGGCGGCTTTGTGGGATACGTTTGGGGGTCGGCTCTTCCTTCCGTCTAGGGTTTAAGGGTTTAGGGGTTTGGGGGTTTAGGGCTTTAGGGGTTTAGGGTCTAGGGTATAGGGTTTAGGGGTTTAGGGTTTGGAGTTCAGGGTTGAGACTTCAGGGTTTAGGGGTTAAAGGTTTAGAGTTTAGGGTGTCTCTTAAGGTTCCGTAAGAGCTCCATCCGCCGTTTGGGTCCAGGCATTCAGGGCTTATGGTTTTCTTTTAATTAACGTGTAATGGCTTATGGGTTTAGGGTTTAGGGTTCAGGGTTTATGGCATGGGACTTCCGTGCTTTCATTTCGAGGTGTTAGAATTTACGTGTCGGGGTTGGGATCTAAGTTGGGAGCATCCGAAAATGGAGGGATTCACTACAGCATCCGGGCCTATGTGGGTAGTTGTGAAAATCATGGTCGGTTTGGTAAGCTCGATTTGTATACGCCACCCTCTAGTCTGAGTTGGGAGCCACACGGACCCTTGTTTCGACAACCAGCCATCATCTTACAATTTTGGGATGCCTGTCATTCAACTCCGAAGAAGGCGACTCATACTTGTCGGCAATCCTGGGGTCCTAGTGGTTGCGGGCTTAGGGCGTCTACTGTCGCTTACAACATCATGCCTCAAGCCCCGTGCCTGAAATCCGCACCCTAAACCCTAACTCCCAGCACCATTGAGCCTGTTCTAGTCCCCCTATTGAACCCTGATGGAACCCCTACGTCCTTACAGAACCTCCCACCCGAAAAGAGAAACCCTGAACCCTAAACGTTAACCCCTTAACCCTAAACCGTAACCCCTAAAAACCCCAATGGACCCCAAACCAGAAAGCTGCTTGTTCAGCTTGGTGGCGAAGATCCGCTTCTGGAAAGTGTGGAACTCGTTGGACACCGCCTGGTACATGTATATATCTACATCTGTATATATATATATATA